GTTGAGTTTACAGCCAATAAGTAATTTAGAGGCCCTAGACTCTGAACCTTTAAATCTAAAGCCCCAGAGACCCCAAAAGGAGTACAAACCCCAAAGGCCCCATGGACCTGAGCAACTCGACATCTCAGCTCGTCGATGACGCCTCCAAGTCCAAGAAGCTTCCGGGAGTCAGGGCTTCGGCTAGGTCGGCACTTTAAAGCCTTAGAACACTACTCGTAAATAGGATCCTCGCAACCCCTATAAGGGATGATATAAAAAGGTCCCAGAAGGCCAACCCAATAAGAGTCTCGGAACATGAGTACTGGCTGTTGAGACTTCCAGATTATGCGGGCTGGAGAGATTTGGATGTAGTAAAACATGAACCCCAGCATCAGGGATTCCGGTTGCGGGGTCTACAGCGTGTTGTCGTCTTCGAACCTCGAACCCACCGAATGGCGGATGTCTGGTACATAATACAGAGAGTGTCGCATATATATATATATATATATATATATGTATGTATGTATGTATGTTCTATGCGTGCAGATACGCCGAATAGAACATGTACCCGACAACGCCTACCCTATAAGCCCCAAGCCCAGAGTAACATGAGCCCCAAGCAGTCGTGACTGCCTCGGTTTTTGTTGAAGAGCTCGTGAAGCTTCCTTGGGCTCGTCAAGTGAGGCTTCGGGTTGGAAAAGGGTCTCATATACGAGCCTTCATCATCAGAATAGTGTGCTTTGCGGTATAGTATACCACTACCATCACAAGTATTTATTAAGGAGCCCTCAGGAATAGTTTACGAAAACGACTACATGTTCATGCTTCTAGATTATAAGGCTCGGGGTTTCGGGTGCCTGTCAGGCTTCCCTAAGCCTCGGCTTAGGGTTACGGGCCTGGTGTTGCAGGCTTCGGCTCCACAGCGGGGTTCAGGGTTTAGGGTCTATATGAAGAGGCTCGGGGGTCGACATGGGGGTTTCCGAAAATAAGGGGTACCTTATTTGGGGTCCTTATAAAAAGGATCCTGCTATTTAGGGTACTATATTAGGGTCCCCTATTTTCGGAAACCCCCACATGGGGTTTCTATTCTGGTGCAGGGTTTAGGGCCCTTTCGTAGAGCCGCTTATGGCCTTTGATAGTCGGGATGTTCGAGGGTAGTTGGGGGGTTTAGGGCTAAGGGCTTAGGGTTTACTGAATTTGGGGTTTGGGGCTCGGGTGTGTAATGGCCCACAGTGGCCCTCACATGGCAACAACAACTCAGGGCTGTAGGCTATCGCCCGTTTGGAGATGCAAACTAGGTTTCACAAGCCTAAACCCTAAACCCTAAACCCCTAGACCCCTAAACCCTAAACCCTAAACGTCTGCAGGTTAGGACGGCAGGCTGCTTTGCAAGTTGGTCCCCTCGAAGATCTGTGGAAGTATTGCATGACAACACCCTAAACCCTAAACCTATCTCGTGGACCCTCCAAACCAGAAGATTCTTTGTGAGGGCCTACTTTAGGTCGGGCCCTTTCTCGCCTACATCCATAGATCCACAATTCAACAACTCCTTTAAACACCAGGCTTTCCATGCAGAGTTTGGGGGTTCGGGGACCTGATGACCAACCCTCGACCCTAACCGGAAAACCTAAAGCCCCCCTTCCCGAAGCAGCAACCCTAAACCCTAAACCCAAAACCAAAAATCATTCCTATCTGCCCAGTATCACTTGGAAGAGGCGCGGCTTGTCGTTGGGGCCTCTTCGTCCAAAAAGGGACGGTCCAGTGGTGGGACGTTCTCTGCCCATTTTTGTATCTTTGAAAGATTCTGTTAACTAGATTCTGTCAACTACAAACTATACGCAACAGCAAGTAAGGCGCTCCTGTCGTGGGAAAGCCATCGAAACTCCCCAAAACCTACAATCACAACCCGGGTGGGAGAAATTCCAGGACTTCCCGACTTCCCCACCCTTATAAGGTTGAGGGTTTGGGGTTTTCGAGTATGGGGGGTATAGGGTCTAAGGGTTTCGTGCAAGAGGCACAAGGCTCTGTGAAAGTTTGCTGGGCTGCTTCAGGGAGTCGACTCTAGGTGACTTAGGGGTTTAGGATTTAGGGTTTAGGGTTAATTTTCAAGGGCGAGTATGGCGGGTTGCCTGGGGTTTGTGGGACAAGGCCGGGTCTAGCAGGCTGCGCTAAGCAAGTTAAAGGTACCTGCTCGAGCTATGGCCGGCGATAGGAACCCTGAAAAGAACAGCTTTCAGCTGCCTAGGCCGGTGTAGGTCACGGAGATCGTCGCAACTCCTGGGAACCAGTGGGTAGAATCCTAGAACCACAAGTAGAACTCTGAACCCGCAAAGTCGAGGCATAGGCAGGTTGAGTCGACTCTGCGGGGTGTCCGGGTTCTTTGAAGCCCTTTCTGTTGCCGTTATATGAGAGTTTCCGAGAATTAGGGGTACCTTATTTTGGGGTCCTTATAACAAGGATCCTGTTATTTAGGGTACTATATTAGGGTCCCCTATTGTCAGAAACCCCCATATGTGTTCTGGTTCTTGCATTTTGTCAGCCCTGCCCTCATGATTATCATTACCCTGGCCGAAGCAGGCGTTGCAAGTGTGAGTACTCTTGCTATGGCTGCATCTTGCTATGGAGAACATGGAGATGAAGCGCAAAACCCCAAACCCGCAGATGATCATGGCAGGGTTGCCGATCCCAAGCCAGTCTTTTCTACCACTACCACCACCACTACCACCA